TTTTACTCCAATTTCATTTTAAATTGTTTTTATAGGATTTTATTAATATTACATATTGGAACTCTGAATTTTGATATGGCCTCTGGGCTAATCAATAAACTAAACTAAATAACCTGTGGTTGTACATTGAGGACAGTCACTTGACTGAAATGGTATCGGGTCTCCTGCTTGAGCAGGGGGTTGGACTAGAAGACCTTGAAGGTCCCTTCCAGCTCTATTCTGATTGATTGTTTGATTATCTGTATTCAATTAATATTATTACCATTATATTATTCTGATTATTCTTTCATAATAGGAAAATACATTTGCTGTTGGAAATTGGAAATTCCACTTAATATTAAATTAAAAATATTACTTACTTAGGATAAGTAAATCCTTTAGTTAGCTAGGATAAGTAAATATTCCTAAAGTAGAATTTAGTTAAACAATTGCTCCATCTGGTGACCAATAATTTATGCAAGGCTCTTTAAATGTCCCTAAGATGTTGAATTTTTCTGATGCTTTCTAAATAGCTACAGATGTTATTTTGTGTATTCTCTTGGTTCATTTTTGGGAAAAATAAAAATGGTTGCAGAGAGACTTGTAAGTGGCTAGAGTGCAAAGGTTACAATTTGCAGTGAATTCCCCCCCCCCCGTGCGAAATCATTTGTAGCAAGAAAATTCTTTGCATTTGTTGAAGAACACAAAACAAAAAAGCCTAAGAAAGTCAATGAAAATAGAGAAAGTCAAATGCAAATTTAAAATAATTATTAAAATATTTTTAAAACTTTTTTCTCCCTTTCTTGGAGCTGATCTAAATTTCACGTTGCCCATTTTCAGCACAGTAGTGTGGAGCTTTGCTTTATGTTTCATAGGGTTTGTATTTCCATTTTTTTGGAGTTAATTAGACATTTCTTGGAGAGAAATTTAAGGCACTGGTTTTTTGTTTGATCATTTTATGGCTTTATTTTTTAATTTTATAGTTTTATAGCTCTGGGGTTTTACTGCTGTTGTAAGCTGCTCAAGGAGGGGCATATAAATCTTTTAAATATATATATATATATATATATATATATATATATATATATATATATATATATATATATATGTCTTTGGTTATTCCGGTTTTCAGCTTTGTGCTTCGTGCTTCATTGCTCCTCAAAGCACGAAGCTGAAAACACCAGCCTGAAGATGACGAATGGGACTTTGTTGACATGTCGCCAAGACACTTCCAATTTTATGCAGGAGAAAACCCGAATAACCAAAGACCTACATACAAACACCCGCGAAAACCTCAGAAAACACACACACACACACACACACACACACACACACACACACACACACACACATATATATATCAGAAGTTTTGGATTTTGATCTTGAATAAAATGAAAAGTGGGGGTCCAAAATCAGTTTGATCAATCTGTTTCTTAATAAATCCCTGACTTGGAATCTGAACTAAAGCTTGTGGTTTGGGCTTAGGTGAAAAAAACTGTGAAATGGAAAAGTGAAAGAAAATGAAATGAAATATGTTATTTTTTTAAAAAACAAAACAAAACCAAAAGAATGAATCAGGCCAGCAAAAGCAAGCAACAAGCAAGCATGAAGCAAACGTGAATGTCTTTTTTTTTTTGTTAGTAACTGGAGCAGGTAAAATAAAAATGGATATTTTAAGTACCCTTGACTATATTTTGATGTCTCTTTATGGTTATACAATTGTTTATTAAAATAAATGGTGTGTTTGCATATCTGCACGCTTGTGTATGTAACATTCAATCTTATTGTGATGTTGATAGTTTTATATGCAAAGAGAGTTTCTTAGACTCTTAAGAATATGGAATGAATGTATTGAAAATAGAATACTTGGAAACCAGCCCCTCATATATTCTGGATAGAGTTTATAGTCCAGGAAATATGACCTACATATTAAAGTAAATATTGTATTCAGGCCAGACTAGGGGAAAAAAAATTGCAGGAAACAAGGAGGAATGGCTAAGCATAGGTTTATGCAGTCTGTCACACACTCTTTTGTGTGCTTTTTCCCTTTCTTTTTTTCTTTCTTTAAAGACAGAAAGAGAGAGACTGTTTATATAGAAAGAGACTTGCTGGGATGTATTAATAATAGAGTAAAATGGAGTTCCATTTGAGTGGGGCATTCTCCATGGACCAAGTGACCTTTTCCCGGTACAGCTGCCTTGAATTATTTGTCTGTCTTTTTCAAACAATATCAATTCTATTTTCAGACCACACCAGACATCACTCTTAGTGTTGTGTTCTTATTTCCTGCCTTAATCTTAATCATTTAAAACATGCCCCCATTTTAGTCTGAAAGTAGCAGTTTCTGTTTTGGTCGCCAGCATCCTCTGATTAGTGTTTCAAGTGAAAGTAAATCATCTTCCTTATTTTATTCGTTTATTACAGCATCTGAGCAAAATAGGTGAATCTTCCAAGATTATACAGGAACTTTTTTAGTTTCTCCACTAGATATAGATGTAAAAAAGATGTTGAGACTCTAGAAAGAGTACTGAGAAGAGCAACAAAGATGATTAGGGGACTGGAGGCTAAAGCATATAAGGAACGGTTGCTGAAATTGGGTATGTCTAGTTTAATGAAGAGAAGGACGAGGGGGGACATGAAAGCAGTTTTCCAATATCTCAGGGGCTGCCACAAAGAAGAGGGAGTGAAGCTATTTTCCAAGGCGCCTGAAGGCAGGACAAGAAGCAAACGGGTGGAAACTAAGCAAGGAGAGAAGCAAGCTAGAATTAAAGAGAAACTTCCTGAGAGTTAGAACAATTAACCAGTGGAACAACCTGCCTCCAGAAGCGGTAAATGCTCCAACACTGGAGGTTTTTAAGAAGAGACTGGACAGCCATTTGTCCAAAATGGTATAGGGTTTCCTGCCTGAGCAGGGGATTGGATTAGATGACCTCCAAGGTCCCTTCCAACTTTACTATGATGATGATGATGATGATGATGATGATGATGATTAAAACTGATTTGAAATAAATGGCTTCCTCTTTCCAAATCAACATGTTCAAGGGGTCCCTTTAACGCACATTTTTGAGGCTATTTTTCCCCCCCTAATCACAGCTTGAAAGGTATTTTCACATTCAGATTTTCACTGCCTAATAAGATCAGGTAATGACATCCACATAGCATTGGAGATCAAGCTCCAACAGACAAAACTTTTCTATTAGAGGACATAAATACAATATATCACATTTTGATATGTTCAGCTATAAAATCTCAAATGAACAATGATATGATGAATGATTAAAGGCAAGCTCCCCAAATATTATTATGAATTATCCTTCTTTGTATAACTGATGGCTTTAAAATACTTCAGGATATTTGATCAAGGTAATGATTAGTAGATATTTTTCTCTATAGACAGTCTAATCCATCTTCAGAGGTTGATGTCTAAAAGGAATGCTTTGAAGGTCTTTTAGTCTCTCTGAAGATATATTTGGTATGTATAATTTTTGGAAAGAGTTATAAATTAGAGGAAAAGAAAACTTCTTGGTTCACAGAGTGTGATTTGTTTGTAGGGGTCCAGAAGGCTTAGCTTTGGACTGGACAGAATATCCAACTTAATATAATGGGCTTTTGTAGTAGTTGTGTACAGTATATGAATATATTGTAAATCTATAACATATTATAAAGATATTGTAAGTAATCTATATATCCTAACTAAAAGGAAACTAAACTTGAACATTGGGCGCTATCTAACAAAATGAAATTTAGTGGTGAAAAAAGTAAGGTTTTACATTTAGGCAAGAAAAACCAAATGTACAGGTATAGTATAGATGGTACTTTGCTCAATGGTAGCAACTGAGAGAGGGATCTCAGAGCTCTAGTGGACAAGCACTTAAATATGAGCCAACAATGTGCTGCAGCTACCAAAAAAGCCAACACAGTGCTAGGCTGCATTAACAGAGGGATAGAATCAAGATCATGTGAAGTATTAATACCACTCTTCAATGCCTTGGTAAGGCCACACTTGGAATACTGCATCCAGTTTTGGTCACTGCAATGTAAAAAAGATGTTGAGACTCTAGAAACAGTACAGAGAAGAGAAACAAAGATGATTAGGGGACTGGAGGATAAAACATATAAGGAACAGTTGCTGGAATTGGATATGTCTAGTTTAATGAAGATAAGGATGAGGAGAGACATGATAGCAGTGTTCCAATATCTCAGGGGCTGCCATAAAGCAGAGGTAGTCAAGCTATTCTCCAAAGCACCTGAAGGCAGGACAAGAAGAAATGGATGGAAACTAACCAAACAGAGAAGCAACCTAGAACTAAGGAGAAATTTTCTGACTGTTAGAACAATTAATCAGTGGAACAACCTGCCTCCAGGATTGTGAATGCTCCAAAACTGGAAGTTTTTAAGAAGAGACTGGACAGCCATTTGTCTGAAATGGTATAGGGTTTACTGCCTGAACAGGGGGTTGGATTAGATGACCTCCAAGGTCCCTTCCAACTTTATTATTATTATTATTATTATTATTATTATTATTATTATTATTATTATTATTATTATTGTCATTGTTGTTATTGTTATTATTATTATTATCTCAACATTAGTACTATAGTTAATCTTACCACTCAAAATTTATTGCAACTGGGTTTTTTAAATAGTGAAGATACTTGTTTCATGTAAAGATGGATTTGGGGTGATCAGAAAATATTAAATATTTAATAACAAATTATTCTCTATTTAAGAAATAATTATTTGGGCATTTAATTTTTTTTCTTCAATTTATATTCTAGCTTTTCTCTTGGAGCGCAAGAGAACACATTTCCCATTTTATTCACAAATAAGTTGTGAAGTAAATTGGGCTGAGGATCTCACCCAGTTTCCAGATATAAATGTGGAATTGAACCTGGATCAATCCCAGAATCTATGTCTTATAGAGAACACAGATCTAGATCCATTATTAGCTCTACACACAATGTAAACATGATTACTAGCACTCAGGCATAGTTCTCAATAATTCCATTAATTTCTTTCAGGGTCTTTGGTGCAGCGATACTACTGACATCTACCCTCAACATGCTAATACCATCTGCTGCTCGGGTGCATTTTGGATGTGTCATCTTTGTCAGAATCTTGCAAGGCTTGGTTGAGGTAGGGGATTGAAGTGCAAACTCTTCTACGAACAGCTTGAATCAGCAGTCAGCTTCCCTTTATTATGACCCTCAATGTGACACTTTGTTCCAACATCTTGCCTACTAAACGAGGGGGGGCAGGTTATCAATGGCATTAAAAGAATGAATGAAGCCAATTCCTATAAGCACTTCAGAGGAAAAGAAAGCCCAGTTGCCTTGGGCAACCAGTGCTGGACTGCCTCCAATTCACCGCTCTCTTTATCCCTTGTCTTCTCTCTACCTTTCCTAATCAGCTTAGCATCTTCAAGTATCTTGAAGGGGCTGTTTCAAATTAAGAGTCAACATTTTGCCTTTCTTAGTCAGCTTGGCATTTTCAAGTATCCCGAAGGGGCCATTTCAAATTAAATGTCCAAAATAGGGGCAATTTGGAGAGTCCGATGCCTCTCTATGCATGCAGCTTTTGTGAGATGTGGGGAGCTACCTGAACAAGCACAAGCCAACTTATTTTGACTGGAGCCCCACTTGGTTTAGGCTATAGCCTCACTCGTACTGGAAAATAACCTCAAATGTGCTTTTCCAAAGTAAAAATATCCCATAAGCTATAGAAAGGCATAAATGGTCAGGTATTTGATGCATAAATGGGATGATGCAAATACAGAATCTCTTTTAAGACTTTTTGTTTGTTCAAAAACGAGGCAGGAGAAATTGGAAAAGTAAGTGATTACAAGAAAACACATCAAAAAGCAACAAAAAGGTATCCATAAACTGGGAACTGACAGTTAAGATGTCAGTGTGATATTCAGATTATATGACTTTTAAGGTCCATTCCTACTCTATAATTCTGTGATCATATCAGACAGGGGTCCCCAACTTATGGTCTGTGTCCCATTGTCAGATTGTGGCCTACTGGCCACCAGGCCAAGGGACAGGCTGGCCAGTGCATGCACATACCCCCACTAGTGCTAGAGCCCGCAGATCCATTTGCACATGTGCATAGGGCTAGCAGCAGAGGCTAGCACCTGCGCAAATGGGACAGCTAGCACCATGCGGGTTGTGCGGTCCATTTGCACATGTGTGAGGTGCTAGCAGAGGTGGTGGCTAGTGCCTACACATCTGCACAAATGAGGCCACTAGCACCATGCGGTTGCATGGCCCGTTCACGCTTGTGCGTGGGGCTAGCAGTGGTGGGGGTAGCACCTGTGCACATGCGCAAATGGGCGTTGGTGGTGTTGTGCAGGTGCACATGGCTGTGTTTGTGCATGGCCCTGTTCATGCATGTGAATGTGCACAAATTTCACAATTGTTACCTTTCCCTCTGGGCCACCAGCATGAAAAGGATGAGGCAGCCATATCTGGACTGCAAAAATATGTATGACCACTAGATAGCAGCAAAAAGTTATTTTTTTTCTGTAATACTTGCTACCATGTTTAGTGGACATCTGGATTTTGCCATCAAAATATGGTAGCCAAGGCATGGGCCTCAAGAAGAGCGGAAGAGCAGAACAGCAGCAAGGTGAACTCTTGTTTCTGATCACTTGTCCTCTCTGCAAAAAAGATGCAGCAGTCCTCTGCACTGGAAGCAGAGGCATCAGAGACCCCGTTGGTTCTCCCAGCTACCATTGCTGATTGCTCTCTTCTTGTTTTTGCTGTCTTCTTCCTTCTTGCCAGTGAAGAAATGAAAAAAGAAGAGATGTATCTTGCACATCACCATGTGCTCATAATCTAATTTTGTACATTGTTTTTGATTTAATGTCCTTATCCATGTGAAGATAAAAACAGTGATCAAAGTTAAAATGTTATTATCAGTTGCCAAGGGAATGCATAAAATTAATGAATCAGAAGAGAAAAAACTCCAAAAGAACATTGACTCAAGTTCCAGAAAATCACTGAAAAAGGATTAATACATTTCAAGGGTATCATATGTTACACATAATCAACATTTCCCACTCTTCCCTCTTTTTCAGTGTATGATTTACCTACAAATACTCTCCGATTTTATGCCTTATCATTTCTGCATCCACCCTTTGGGCCTTGCAATAGAGCTTGAAGACGTAATCTAATCTGCCAACTAGCCCTAGGACCCCAGTAGGGATGGAGGGTGGTATTTTGGGGGTAGTTAACAGATTAGACATCGTGGTCAATTGAATATTAATGAATGTTAAATTTATGATGTTAATGTTTTATATGGTATTTTTACTGAATAATTGTAAACCACTTAGAATCACCTTGGCAAGATGGGTGGCATAAGAAGTTAAATAAATAAATAAATACTTTTGCCCCTTTTGTTTAACCTTTTATTTGTATGTCAGTTGTAGCATCTGTAAATCAAATAACCTTCTTCACAGGGTGTAACTTATCCAGCTTGCCATGGAATATGGAGCAAGTGGGCTCCTCCTTTAGAGAGAAGTAGATTAGCAACTACATCTTTCTGTGGTAAGTGACATCTCCATTATTTCACTTGTTTTGCATTCTCCTTTTTCTAGCATACACTGAAATAACACATTTCTGCAGCTCATCATCAATATTCACACATATTGATTGGAGTGAGTTTTGTGAAATCAAATTTGGGTCGATCACCAGGACCACAGATTTATGTTTCCAAGCTTTCGGATTCATGCTGGAGCCCATCTTCAGGGAATTTCTCTCTTGGAATATGTGCTTTGGGCTGTTCTGTGAGTTGTGTTTATGTGGTGCCTTCCTATTGGCTGATTGGTGTGTTGATGGCTGGCAATTGACTGTCATTTCCTTGGGCTGTGAAACCCTCAGCTCCTAAGTATTTGATAGGCTGGTGGTAATTTAGCACTGACAGGAGGCTGAATTAACAAGAGTGCTGAATTACTACCAGCCTATCAAATACTTAGGAGCTGAGGGCTTTGCAGCTGAAAGAAATGACAGCTAATTGCCAGCTATCAACACACAAATCTGCCAGTAGGAAGGCATCACATAAACACGACTCACAGAACAGCCCAAAGCATGTATTCCAGTATAGAAATTTCCTGAAGATGGGCTCCAGCATCTTGGAAGATGCTTGGAAGCATAAATCTCTGGTCCCAGTGACTAGCCCAAATTCGATTTCACATCATTAACCTGGGACACGTATCTTTGCCTTTGTTTCCACAGAGAACAATTCAGACTCATGAATAGACTCATTTTGTTTGCATGAACAAAAGTTAAAAACTTGAGAACTGATTCTTGAATGTTAGACATCTTATTCTGGTGAGGATATTTGGATTTATCAGTCTGAATCAATAATTGTGGAAGAATAATGTGTTTCCCCAGTTTTTGTGTGTTAATTTACAGGTCTGGACATAGTTAAGCCATTGTAGCTGTGAGATTAAATTAAAGAATCTAAGCATAGCATATAGATCACAATATTAATACATTGAAGATGGTGTGGTATATAGTTAAAATGCAGAAAGATGCAGGTTATATTCTTCCTTTAGTCACAGGAAGCGCTTTGAGGCCATCACTCTCAGTCCTAGATTGGGAAATTGAAAATATATTTATCTATCAATTTACACTGGGCAACAATGGTAGTTTATGGTCTATAAGCTTCAATGAAGAGACCTTCACTCAGCAATGGATTGATTCAGGTTGATAACAACAACAATAATAATTAATATACTACGTCAGCTTTCCAGCTTGACAAATAAAGACAAGTGCATCCAAAAGAATCTTTTAAGTATTCATGGCTACTGTTTATTGGGTACATTTTTTTCCTGGATTTATAGGATGGTTATATGAACTAATCATCTGATAACATTAACCAATAAGATTGTAGGATTATTTGTAGAGGTTATTTCATTTATTTTCAACTTCTTTTACACCTGAAAAGAAACAGATTAGGAAAGAAAGACCTAAATAATTCATATGGTCGTTTTAACCAGAAGATATTAGTGAACAGTTTTCTTAGAAACTAGAAAGATGTCTTTCAAAGGCACCCAATAGGAGTCACAATGAGATTCCCATCACATAATTGACATAATAATATCATGAGATATGAAATGCTGCTGCCCCCTGCAGATACCCAAAATGCCAATGGGAATTGAATTTCAGATTTGATGCCATTTCAACAGATGTTTATAATTTACTTGTGTGTGTGTTTTTTTTAATTATCATTCTCTAGGATCCTATGCAGGTGCAGTCATTGCAATGCCATTGGCTGGGATTTTAGTGCAATATACAGGATGGTCTTCTGTGTTCTATCTGTATGGTATGATCTTCTCTTCTCATCTTGCTTTAGAAAAGTAATGAGAGAAAGTTAGCAACCATAAATATAATCCTACAATCTGAGAGGAAGGATGAAGCACTCATTTAGGATCATATCCAACAATGTCACTCTATCCATTAATGTTCTGAAATTCAGGAAAACGAGGAATGGTGATTTTTGGTAAACCCTTGCTTATGAGTCCATCATCCCCAATGCTGTTCTGATTTTTTTCTGGAACAAATTGACAGCTCAAATCTAGTTTTGGGATCCCAGATTATGAGTCAGAATATGGCTGTGTTCTAATGCTATGTATAAATACATTAGAAACAAGAGGAGCAAAACTCTGGGGGAATTTAGACAGAAAGAACATTCAAAAAGGACAAATTAGATTGCCTAGAAATACAATTCCCCAAACAGTGGAATTGTTCACACTGTCAAATTTGGCTTAAATGAGGACAGTGACTCAGTCATGTTACACTTAATTCAGTGTAAAACAGGGCAGGTTGAATTTCCATCCACGAATCTGATCTTTGCTTAGAATAATTTTTTATGGAAATGAAGTTAATTATTGTAAAAGGCATAGAGGATTCTCAGCAAGAAACTGTAGAGGAGCAGAAAGAACCTTTCTGTAAAGTCCTTTTTCTGTTTTCTGTCAAGTGGGGTTTTTAACTGAAAAATTAACTGATAGCAATTGAATTTAGGGAGGAAAAAAAATCAATAGGTGGAACGTTTCTTGTATGTACAGTAACTATTTACAAATCTGAGATAAATCCAGATGAAGGATCATCTTTAGAAGGCATAAAATGTTAACCAATAATTTGAACATTCCATCCCAAATGTCTCAAATTTCATCCATGCATTGTTTCCTAAGTTCTCTTGAGAGTCCAGTAATTTTCCAAGTGTTTTCAGAAATGTTAGGATTTTCCAAAGTTTTGACCATTTTTAAGTCAACATTGTTTATAGGAGAAGAGGGGCAATTATATTAAACATGTGAATTTGAAGAATGAAACTGGAGATGAAATAATTCTCCACTGTACAACTAATTCCATCCATATGTGGATGATATGCCGAGAATCAGATTTATTTTACCTGCTTTTTTCCTTTTCTCCCATGGTTTAGCCGTAGTTCTCATTCTTCCCCTTCTCCACTGTAAGATTCAAGAGGGAGGCCAAACTAGATAAGGCCCGAAAGACAGTGTTCACCCCACTGTGCTTTATTTTATGCATCCTCTTTCATTTTGTGCAAGGAGTCTATCGAATTGGATAGGAATTTTAAGGTGGTATTTTTTAAGGTGGTATTTTTCAGCTGGACTGCTATGGCTGTAGCCTGTACCCATTGTATTTCATGGAATCTTCTGAAAAGGCCTAAAACTATTCAATTTATCATGGAAGTCATGGTGAATAAATGAACATATGACCCATTTGCTTAACTTAACAGAAGAGGATTCCTGTGATCAGGAAGAAGTTACATCCCTGCTTTTATAGGGTTACATCCGATTTTCCAACTGTACCCCATAAATTATTCTAGCAGAATAGTAGAATCACCAGGGATTGCATACTTTCTTAGTCCCTTGGGGATTAAATAATCTGAAATAGAATTAAAATATGTTCATAAACTTAGAGATATTATTTGGAGAGTGTCTGCTTAGATAAAAAACAAAGTAACATTTCAAACAGGTGATTTTCTAAAACCAATGTTTACTTCTTGAGTAGGAGATTTTCATTTCAATTTGTCCTCCTATTATGTCCAACAGGAAGTTTTGGCATTGTCTGGTATATGTTTTGGATTTTGGTGTCGTATGAGAGTCCTGCAAAGCACCCTACAATTACAGATGAGGAGCGCAGATACATAGAAGAAAGCATTGGAGAGAGTGCTAATCTTCTAGGAGCAATGGAAGTAAGGATTTTACTGCTGTGTGTGTTTCTGTACAGACCTCAAGAAAAACAATAAGCTGCTAGCTAAGTCAGGGACTGTACTAAAAATGAAGATGGTTTCATCTGAGCTGTGTAGCACTTAATCTTGTTAACTGTTTTTTTTTTAATTCAATTGCTATATTAAATCTCATCTTTTGAATTCTCACTCCAGTCTTCACCTCAGGATAAAGATCATGTAACACCAAGAATAATGTTAAAAGTTAAATAATAACATAGATAAGTTAAGGATTCTGCGGTTATGTATGTGATGACGCATATCAAATCAAAGGCCAGCAAAATAAGTCAACAGACTATGTATTCTATTTCTCTTCTTGTTTTTCTTTTTTTTCTTTTTTTAACATTGTGTTTCCCTTTACATATTTAATAAATAAATATATTTATTTATTTATCTATCTATATTATTTATTTAATTAGTTATATATCAATAACATGAACAGTCGTATGTGGCGTGTACATTCATATGTGATTCTGCTGATTAACAATAATGACAAAAAATAGAGTAAAACCATGAAATCTAGTTTTAAAAAGTGTGGGAGGTAATTGGAACATAGTTTTTTAAAGATGTATCATATTGTTTGTAGTTTATAGTGCTGTAATCCTGGTCTCTCAGAATTTACAGTTTCTGTTTGTTTTTCACACATGCAAGTGAGAAAGCACAAATACGGAAGCGTGCACACTAAGAGCAGCTTTAAACTCTTTAATATGTCTAAGAAATAACCAGCTGCTGTCTTCTTTTACAGAAATACAAGACTCCATGGAGAAAATTTTTTACTTCTATGCCGGTCTATGCAATCATTGTTGCAAACTTCTGTAGAAGTTGGACTTTTTATCTGCTCCTTATTAGTCAACCTGCTTACTTTGAAGAGGTGTTTGGATTTGAAATAAGTAAGGTAATTTCTTATTACTTGAAATTTGAACTGGCATATTGTAAAGGTTCTTGGATCTCAACATAAAATATATGAACCTTCCTTAATATTCACTAGGCTTCCTATCCCACCATTTTAAAAAAGATTAAACAAGCAAGATAAATAAGCAAGAAGCTAGCTTTCATGAAGCAAAGCATTATCCTTAAGCATAATCTGTATTTTCATCAGTGATTCTGATTCTCATGGAAGCCAGATAAAATCTTAAAAAATAAAAAGTGGGTAACTATAGTGTAGTGTTCTGTGTGTATGTGTGTTTTGCCTCCCTCCTCCCAACAGAATGGCAGTGCCCTGAAAATGATTTGAGTCCCTAGGAGTTATCTAGAGAAGCCAGTTCCTTTCTTGCCATAGTTGTTAAATGAATCACTGCAGTTGTTAAGTTAATAACACGGTTGTTAAGTGAATCTGACTTCCTCTTTGACGTTCCTTGTTAGAAGGTTGCAAAAGTTGATCTCATGACCCTGGGACATTGCAACCATCATAAATATGAGTCAGTTGCCAAGTGTGTGAATTTTGATCACATGACCATAGGGATGCTGCAATGGTCATATGTGTGAAAAACAATCATAAGTCATATTTTTCAGGGCCTTCAGATCATTAAAGGAACCGTTGTGAGTTTGTTTATCTGCTAAATTTCCCCCCATCAATTCATTTATTCTATCAGTACTTTTTTATTAAAATTTCTGATTTTAGGTGGGAATGCTGTCTGCACTGCCACATTTAGTGATGACCATTATTGTGCCTATTGGGGGACAAATTGCAGATTTTCTAAGAAGCAAGCAAATTCTTTCAACCACTACAGTCAGGAAGATAATGAACTGTGGAGGTAAGTTTACTTGTTATTAAAAGGCTTGTTGGAACATCCTACAAGTATTGCACTGCATAAAATATCAAATTCACAATAGGTTCACATAAACTGATAGAGTACAAAATTGCTTTGCTTGTAACTGTTATAAAATAGAAGTACCAGCATAACCAAAATAACCATACACTGAACATAAATTTGGATAAATTCTGGGAGAAAGTGGAGGATGGGGGGGGGATCCATGGTGTTGCAAAGAGTTTGACATGAACTAGAGACTCAACCAACAACAGCAGTTTCAAAAATCCTTGATTAATACTTGGACCATGATAGTCAGTCATCACTGATGTTCATTAATAGTCTAGAGAAAGAGTTAGGGTTAGAATAAGGTAAATAAAGTTCCAGTTAAGTTCCACCTGTATTGAATTCATGGATACAGAATCATAGAATTAGAAGATATGATAAAGGTAATTTAATCCAACTCAGCTCAGTGAAGTATGCAGTAAGGTATCTACCAGATGGCTGTTCACCAATTGAACAGAAGAGAATATATGTAGCTCAGGGCTGAACTATGGGAATCTTTGGTGTCCTCTGAGCATGGCTAATTGCTTGCAGACATTTCATTACCTAGCTAGATAACAGAATCAGTGTAAATAAGTGTGAGGTTTACTGCCTGTTTATATACAATAGCTTGCCCTGGCAGTTTTGATGAAGATGTAGGGCTTTTATAATTTGTTGGCTGCTATGCTTTATTTTCTCTGTTTTAAGTTCATTTTAGTGGTTGTACATATTGTATATATACTTTTCCTGGCAACAATATGGAAGCAGCTTATCACTGTCTTCTTTCAACACCTTTTGACTTCCCAATCTATTCTACAACTCTATTGTTTACTGAAGTCTCTCCTCTATCTGCTAACCAAATTTACTCTGCTTAGCTTTCCGAAACAAGCTAAGACTGGCTAGTTGTTCTACCTAGCTGTACTAAATACTCTGAAAGAACAATAAGCATTATCAAGTTTTTTTTTATTATTATTATTATCCCCAAGGGTTTGGAATGGAAGCAACCCTTCTCTTGGTAGTTGGATATTCTCATACTAGAGGTGTGGCCATTTCTTTCCTTGTTCTTGCTGTGGGGTTCAGTGGATTTGCTATATCTGGTAAGTTAATTTCTTTATCAGTGTAATATATTCCATTATAATAAACAAGATAATATGAGAAATATATACAGAGCTTAGCTTCTGGAATTCTTTTACTAGCAATGGGCAAAGGAAATATCTGTATTTTCTTCTGCATGTTGTAACTCGATGTGGTAATATGTTATAACTGGATGTGGGTATGCATCACTATATCTCTTATGGCCTATGTCTACCAGAAAGCATGTGCTGGGCTGCACATACTTCATTCTGGTGCATGTGGTTGACAGGGAGGATAAAGTGGGCTTTAAATAGGGCAGTCACCAAATTCTCATGCCACAGTCTCTCTCTGCAGTCTCTGGACTATTTGTCAGACAAATCTTTCTCTGGCCAACTTCTTCCATCATATGAATCTTTGACCAACGTCTTCCATCCTATGAAACCATTAGTTCAGCTGCAGAGGGTAATTGTGCTGACACATTCTGAATCCCTTTACATATTAATTTCCAGAATTCTGTTGGGTTTAAAAAAAAAAGAGCAAATTAGGGAAAACTCATGGAACACTCTGGATACTAACCATAGAAGTAATCTGTATTTGTCTATTTCATTTCTTTATGGATAATATATTGTGTTGTGTGTATTTCTGTTTTACCCTCATGTTGCATCTGGATATATTTTGTATCAGGAAGTGTAGAGTGAGCTGTGTATATACAACCCTGGATCTTATGGAGGAATGGCTTTAGAATGCAGCAGTCACATTTCTAACCACTATCTGACTAATTATCCCATTCACATGTATCTGAGATATTTTCTGCAGTGCCTCCAGATCCATCCCTATCTTTCTTTGGCGAGCTTCTCCCACTAGGCCAGCTTTGGTCCTGTTCTTCCCATTTTTGCAAAGTTATCTTACTGATAGATAGACAGATCCTGAGGTCATGCATATAATTTATTTTCAACATTTCACTGAGTAGGAAAGAATATAAATGGATAGAAATGAATTTGATATCATCTTAAGATTTACTATGAATGTTGTTCTAAACATAATAGGTAAAACAAACATTTAGTGATATATTCTTTTTCTACGGCTCTGTTAACAAGCATTATTTTATATTACAGGATTCAATGTCAATCATTTAGATATTGCTCCGAGGTATGCCAGTATCTTAATGGGGATTTCAAATGGAGTTGGAACATTGTCTGGGATGGTGTGCCCAATAATTGTTGGAGCAATGACAAAAAACAAAGTAAGTTTTGCTACATTACAGTTTCCAAAAGTAGTTTTGGTTATTATTAGCCTTGAAAAAAACGGTACTTATGTTCCAATCTGATCAAATTCATTATCACATGTCACAAGTATAAGTGGTGTAAGTTCACATGTTATATTCTACAATAAAAGTGAATTCTGACTAGCTTCTTCACCTTATGATGTTAATGAAAGTCCATGGTGAATAAGATGAGAAATAAGGATAACATTCCTTGGGTATTTTTTTTTTAAAAAATATTGTCCTTATTTTCTCTTAAGATTTTTCAAGTTTTTCAGGCTAGTTCTCCCTGTTACCCTTTACTCCTTAAAGTTCATTTTCTTCTTCCTTTGTACAATAGTTAGATACAGTTCCATAAAAACCAGTATAAGCCAAAATAATCCCCAACAGCTATTCTGGTAGTATGACCTGAGCCTCCTATGCTATTCTGATGGCCCCATCTTTTTTGTCATAGACACGTGAAGAATGGCAGTACGTCTTTCTTATTGCTGCTTTGGTCCATTATGGGGGAGTCATATTCTACGGAATATTTGCTTCAGGAGAAAAGCAACCTTGGGCAGACCCTGAACAGACGAGTGAAGAAAAATGTGGCTTCATTCACGAAGATGAACTTGATGAAGAAACAGGGGACATTACTCAGAATTATGTAAATTATGGTACCACTAAATCTTATGGTGCTACAACCCAGATTAACGGTGGCTGGCCAGATGGCTGGGAGAAGAGAGAAGAATTTGTACAAGAAGAAGCACAAGACTCATATAGTTACAAGGAAGGAGAGGATTATTCATAACAGGCCTATGTTGGGTATATTTTGTAGTGTTTGTGATTTATTCATTGTGACTGTTTACGCACGCGTGCACCACACACACACGGACACCAATGTGACATAAACATGTAAACACATATCAGACAAGAAGGTCTTACTATAAAAACCAAGAAATACTACCATTCAAGTGCAATCTGTATGAGTTTGTGACATTTCATCACTTCCATTTGGGTGTCTCCATGCTATAGAGTTTTAAGGGTTATCTGGTCAAAACTGCACAGGAAACTAGGTCTTTGCAGTATAAATGAGTGAGAAACTCAAAACTAAGGAAAAGCACAACTACCATGCAAGTTGGGACATCAAATGTTCAGTTTAGAAAGCCGAAACTTCTTGATCATTTAAAAATGCACTTACATATCGTATTGAAAGAGAACAAAACATTGTTTGTGTGTAGGTTTACTTGGTACAATGTAAGAAATGTATGGTTGATCAAAATCAAGTATTTCTTATCGAGTAAGACTTCCATTTTAGCCCCAGTTCAAGTCCTTTAAAGAGAATTAAATTGAGACTTTACAGAGCAGTCTAAAATATAATGTTTATTATGATTATATATCGTCAGGCTATTTTATTTTTGTTAATTGGTTGCTTTCATTGAACATTTAGGCACAAACTTTTCATTTCTGTTATTTGCAGGCCAATACAGCAGTTGTTTGTGTCAGGTTATTCCTGATAGCTATCAACCAGTAAATATATATAAATAGATATATATTTAGCCTGACCTTCCATGCAGAATAAATAAGCAAGATGAAAGAGTATTTCTTATAGTTATTGTTTGTATAAATTACTAGCCATAATAAATCTTATGTTCACCCAGACAAATCCAAAGAAAAATATACTGCAGACACATAGCCCTAGAAGAAACAAGTATTTCTTTGAAAGCCTTTTAAAGTAAATGCAAGAAAAGGAAAAATAAAATAATTATTTGTTTAATCCTGGATAGTTTTTCATGTTTTCAGAGGTTGTGCCACAATTCTATAAATAAAGTCATAGTTTATTGCAGATGCTGTATAATGATAGAAAATAGTGCTATTTTAAAGATTTCTGAATTTTAAAATAAATTCTATTTGTCTTGCAAACCAATAGAACTATAATGGACCCACAGAGTAGGAACAGCCATTTCCATAGTGAGCCCAAAGTGGCAAACCACAGGGGATGGGCTGCAGAAGAGGGTAACTTTTACAGTGCTCAAGTGCAATTCTAATTTCTCCAAATCCAATGGGAGGTTGGGCCCTGGCTTCACTGGGGTATGGATTGCAGTTTTGTGTCTTGTCCAGAAACCCGAGACCATGGAAGATCTCTAGGAGGCCCACCAAGCTTTTGCATGTGCAGGCTTGCATTTGCTACAGTTGAGGAGCAAGTCAGAATATGTGCATCTGTTATGTGCGTGTGGACCTGCCATTCCCATTGAAGTGACTAGGGAAGCCCAAGAAAATGAGCTCCGTGAATGTGGAGCTCTGGATCAAGGCCTTGTATTTCTTAGAACGTTCTTCTATAAGAATTGTAATGTTAGTGTACCAAGCAATAAGTGCCATGTACTATTAAGTGCATGATCTTTTAATCTTTGTTACCATCACTACTGAGCTTGCAGTAGATCCTTGAGACAGTTTGGGTTAATACATTTTACAAAAGCAAAACAGACAGGACTAATCAACAATAAAAAGTTCATTCTGCTACTAGACCACTTAATGCTCTAAAAAAAAGTATCCATTTGCCAGCTCCAATGAAATGATTAGTGTTGTATGTTAAAAAGCCATTTCAGGTTTTTTGATCTGCTCCTTGTATTGTGCTAGTATTTTAAGGCCCTGCTATTGCAATATACAACTCAAGGATCTTCTCCACCTCCTCTTTTCTCCTTCTTCCCAACCCTCCCCTCCTTCTTTTCTTGTACTAAACTTACCCCTACTTTTATCTGGAGAGAGAGAAAAAAGTCAATTACACATTTTGCTTTGTGCCTCAAAGTGATGTAAAATGTGGCCATAGCTTTTGCTGTGAAAAGATGTGGACTGTGTCACTTTTGTTGCTGCTAAAAAAAGTGTTAATAAATGCTCTATTTATCCTTTTATATATAAAGAAAAAATATTTGGGTGTTTTCTTTCAACATGTTTTCTATGACTTGGTTCTTAACTATTTTGCAAAACTGAATTGCCACACATAACTACCCAGGACTATAATACCCCAGGGCCATTTCTTTCCGGTTCTATTTTTAGGAAGGAAAACAGACACTTGTGTCTCTCAAGTGGTTGTGTGAGTTACAAACTATTCATTATATGCTGAGTTCCAGTGGAATATCTAGCCATTCAACTCTGCCAAATGAAACGTCCCAACATGTCTCCCATCATTGGTTCTTAAGTCAGTTCATCACATTGTAACCTACCAGTGCTTCCTTAACAATTCCAAACTGATTGATGGCAGAATCAGATATATTGGCCTTGTTTGCTGATTAGCCACCCTAATCCAAAATTGATTTTTCCTGTTATCCATTTATGTAGAAAAGCTCTAAAATCAGTGTACTCAAACTTGGCAATTTTTAAGATGTGTGGCTGGGGAATTCTGGGAGTTGAAGTCCACACATCTTAAAAGTTATCAACTTTGAGAAGCATTGCTCTGAATTAGGGATCTTCAAACTTGGCCTTTTTATGACTTGTGGACTTCAACTCCCAGAATTCCTCAGCCAGTGTGCCTGGCTGAGGAATTCTGGGTGTTGAAGTCCACAAGTCAAAAAAGGGCCAAGTTTGAAGATCCCTGCTCTAAACGATGCATAACCCAGAGTGAATGAGATTATGCCCCAGGTGAGTCTAAAGTTACCTAGGAATAAACTAATTTTTCCTGGTAAGCTAACTCCCTTGCCCTTGCTTCATGTTGTGTGAATTACATACTGGAAAGTTGGTTGCTTCTGATTTGGCAGAAACAACCTCATTGTAGTCTCCTTGGTAAGGCTTACCATTTACCCCATGATGACCCAGGAGAACGAAAAGAAGTAGAAGGCTGTGTGGTGGATAGATTGGCCAGGCTGATCAAGTCTACCTATGGAGGTGCTGAAGTTGATTATGCTATTATGGATTTCTGTAATTATTTTCACCTCTAGAGTTAAAATCTTTTAAAAGGCCAAATATAGGGAAACAAAAGTTTCCCACTTTATTTTGTGATGGCTGGGAGAATTAAAAATGCCTGTCACAGGGTAGATCCAGCAACCTTGGATTATGAGCTTCTGGACTTCAAAACTAGTCTGTTGACAATAGAAGTGGAAGGATGGAATATACCACACTAGTTTCTTTTTTGGGTACATAGGCCTATTTTATTCTTTTTTTTTTTTCAAATTAGATCAAAAGGTAGGTCTTAAATAATTGGCTAAATTTCAAGTATTTTATATACTCTCTCTCTCTCTCTCTCTCTCTCTCTCTCTCTCTCTCTCTCTCTCTCTCTCTGTGTGTGTGTGTGTGTGTGTGTGTGTGTGTTACCAGAATTCAGAGTTCTGCTTATTTGTTCATAGTTTTGAAATATTAGTGCTACCTAAAAAGAATTTCATTCAATGAATTATCTGGCAATATTTTTTCACATGGTGCTGTTTATCTTCAATGCAAATTCATATCTTTCAGCTTACAAATCTACCTTCAGCATGGATTTTGCCATTTCAAAAATAAATAAATATCCACCCTTCTGGCTTGTGAATTGTTAAAATACCATAAATGTCAATGGGTAAACTAAAAAAAAAAAGAACCTCTATTCAGCTGAATAACACTGACAGAAGAGTATCTATACATCAAAATGAAATTCTCTTTGGGATCTAAAGAGTGAAAACAAGTACTGGAAGCAGAAGAAATGCCACAGAGAAAAGCTTCTATATTTGAAAGATCAACTCTTTATTTCAGGCCCTGTCAGAGAGAGATAAAAAAAAGTGTTTCTTTTTTTTCTTTTTAGGGAGAGTGAGGGGGTGTAAGCTCTGAAGCAATATGAAAATCAAGCACACATTCCAATCCAAGTAGCAAATTAACACCTTAATAGCAGCTTCATTGCATTTTATATCAAGATATAACAAAATGTTGAAAGTCCATAACAAAATTGCATCATTTTATGTTTCATTAGAAGCTAAGTAGCTAATCTACTCCAAAATATTTCAGACTAAAAATATAATCTGATTAGAATGGAATTTTTATGTCATTTGTAGATAGATAATTGGAGTTTCATTTTCCCTCTCAGCCAGAGCTATTGATCTGATGATTTAAAAAAAAACAAACGCTGGTATAAACATTTCCTAGGTCAGTGGTGGCGAACCTATGGCACGGGTGCCAAAGGTGGCACTCAGAGCTCTCTCTGTGGGCACTCGCACCGTCGCCTCAGTCCTAGGCCTTCAGCTGGGTTTTATAAAACCTTTTCGCTTTAGGCTTCTGCTGCCATGTGCAAAAAAAAAAAAAAAAAGATTCAATCAATCAGTCAATTTCAACTTCTTGTGGGAAAAAAAAGATCTTGCAAAGTTGGAATTGATTGATTGAACTTTTTAGTCCCACCCAGTCTGCCATTACCACCGCAGCATGCCCACCCAATTGGCCACACCCAGCCAATGGGCCACACCCACCCAACACCCGACGATGCATAAGTGAGTTTTGGGTTGCAGTTTGGGCACTCGGTCACTAAAAGGCTTGCCATCACTCTCCTAGGTAATCTTGCATTATTAGTATGGAAGGAATTTTCAGCTTAATCACAGTATCTTCATTTCTCCTTGTTCCATTGTCAGCTAGTTAGAATTGTCTATTTATGCTTATGTATTCTGTGTGGTTATTTAAGTAAGTGTGCAGGGATCAAATGTCTTAAGCTTCTGTGGAAGTTAAAAACTTAGTTCCACCCTTTATCATTTTATAAATAATTATTAATTAATAAAATATTGAAAATATTCAAGTTATTTTCAGGGGAAATGTTATTTAAAGCAAAGTAAAGGTAAAGGGGTAAAAGAGTCCCTGTGGATTTTTACTCCGCTTGTTGTTGCCGACTATAAGGGACATCATGAAGTGTGATTACGTTCCCGCCAAAGTAGTAAGTATTTATCTACTCACATTTATGTGCTTTTGAACTGATAGGTTGGCAGAGCTGGTGCGAGAACGGGAGCTTACCCGGTCATTTGATGCTCGGGTCTTGAACCTGGGCTGTCAGGTTCCAGCCAACAAGCCTAGCAACTTAACCACTGAGCCACTCCTATTATTAAAGTAAACCACTCTGATATCAGCAGGTAAGAGTGATAAAACATTTGAGGCCTTCTGTTCGCTCCTCTTCCCCCCCCCTTTTCATACAAGTTCATCTGGTAGACTATAGTGAGGCGATGGCAAAACTGGAAACTATTGGATTCAGTTTAATCTGTCAGTTCTCAGATTTAACTTGAATTAACTCTGTATGGAAAGCCAAGATTAGGCAAGAAGATGCTGTAAACTCTGGCTTAACTCAGTATGACAATTCGAATTGTCATGATTTGTATAAATACATATTCATATAAATGCACATTGCCAAGTCCAAAAGCAAGAATGATATGTGGCAGTTCCTCCAAATGGAGTTCTTTATTATTTTATACCTATGGATAAAATGTTGAGAAACTGAAGACTTTACCACAGTATCTGCAGCAACAATATAATAATAATAATAATAATAATAATAATAATAATAATAATAATAATAATAATAATAATAATAATAATAATATCAAAAGGCAGCCTTACTAGAACTTCTTCCATCCTGCGACGATATCTGTAATACCATCAAACATCCACATCTGCCTATCTCAGGTCCTGGGTAAGGACTCGATAGGTAGACAAAATGCCAAATCCAGTCTGAACATCTGGCTGACTGTGCGATGATCAATAATAATAATAATAATAATAATAATAATAATAATAATAATAATAATAATGTTGGAAGGGACCTTGGAGATCATCTAGTTCAACCCCCTGCTCAGTTTGTGAATGGTCTTCTCCCTCTTTCTGTCACGCATGATATCTGGGATAAGTTGCTTTCGTACTCCTCCAGAATGCACGGCCCTCCCGGGAATCCACAGTCTCACTACATTCATCACATATATTTAAGATTTCATTACTGAAAGAAAAGTAGTAAAATATTATTTACATCTTGGATACCTTGCTGTTATGCTTGCTTTTAATTTTATTTGGCTTTTTTATATTTTTTTCCTTCTTTTTCTTGCATGGTTTTTCCTCCTCCTCCACCACCCCTCCTTCTTTTTTAGAGGGGTGTTAGCTTCAGTTAACTTTTTTCTTTTTATAATCAGGAGAATTTGAATCATACTGAAATTTCAAAAGTTGAATTCAATGGTGGGCTGGTCATTTTCCAATAACCCTGTAGGATTATATGTTCCAACCATAATTATTATATTATTTAAATCTAACTTTAGATAGCCACAACTGAATTAAAATTCACAATATTCACAGTAACCAGGCTAATGTATGGCACAGGCAACTGACTGATAATACTCTGGCTATTGGGGTGCAGTTTTTATTTTTACTTTGCCTCTCTTTTCAAGGAAAAATAAAGATAGCCTTAAAATAAAGCTGATTTTTTAAAAATCGGAGATTCTTCCTGTTTCTAACTTCAAACCACACTAATAAGCTGTAAATCTAATCTTGTATTAAATCAATAACTTTAGGTGTCAAACTCAGCAATTAACTTCAGAGATTGATTATACCCCACAGAGTTAAAAATTAAAATGTATAAAGAGCTGTTTCTTTTCAATCAATTTGTGTAACAATATAACCTTTTCCTCCCTTTCACTAATACCTTTTTCAAATATCTTTTCTGGTGTTTTTTTTTTTTTTAAAGATGAAGCCAAAGAAATGGGTTAAAAACCTGTAAATTTAAGCAATGAATTCATCCACATAAATGTTTAAAATAGCTTCCTTGTCCTAGTTAGATTTATGCGTCTTCCACTTCATTTCATTATGCTGGTTTTTGAACCTTGCATGAATAGCTGTTTCTTCAAATAGTGTTGAAGGGAAAGTAGACAAAACTGTTGTATAAGTCAGCTGTTTAAAAAGAAACCAAGGGCAGAACTGAATAAAAAAGGGAATATGCTTAATACTGTAG